CTACATCTTGGTCAAATATGAAGGTTCGGTTCAGCTATATTTTATGATGAAAATTGAGAGTTTAATAAAAAATAAAAATAATAAGGATAATTATGGAAAGTATGGCAATTATTTCTTTCCCTATCGTTCTTGATTTAGGGTTGTGTTCTCAAGTTATTTTTTGTAAGCTAACAATGACAAGGACCAAAACCCCTAAAGAAAAAAAGACTCAATATGATGAAGCACGTGAAATTTAGCCATATAGTCAGAATAAGCTACCTACTCTTTTTGGCAGTGCATACGGCCCCAGGCCATTTCAAAGTATTCACGGTAGTCCAAAAAGTTCATAAATTGTCTGGTTCTATCATTCTAACTCTAACTATTTACTCCCTAACTATTTTGTGTGCTGTTAATTTCAAAAAGGGGAAGTAGTAGATTTTAATTTTGTGATGCATGAGTAGTAATAACAAAAACATGAGTGTTAGAATGCTTGAGTTAGGGGTAGCACGAAGTGTAATAAGAACTGACAAAGGTGGAGTAATCCATAAGAATTGACAGTCATCATACATGATACTACAAATCAAGTATTAGCCCATGTTTGTCATCCATTTTGTGAAACATTGTTTGCTACAGTAAACAATCTCCACCACATATTCACTCAATAAAATATCTTGCATACAAACCAATAAAATTACTTTACTTTTCAACCACACATTCTCCAAAAAATGCTATTCAAAACTCTATTTCTTATCCCAAAATGGGAGACAAACAAGCACTTAGTTTTTGAAATTAAACAAAGCTAAAAGGGAAGATTGTTGGAAAAATATGTGTCTGTTTTTACAAATTTTATTTATTAGCTTGCTTAATATACATGTTGATTTTCAATTTTCATACATTGGAAAATAACATGTCAAAATTCGAGAGAAAAAAATTCCAGAAAATATAGGATAACTTTTGGCACATCTTTCATAATAAGATTGGACTTTTAATAATCTTAGATATCTTTGACACATATTTCATGATAAGATTGGACTTCTGATAATTTAAACTATCTTTTATGATACGATTAATCTTTTACGATAATTGCATATATTCTATAATAAGTTTACCTTTTTATTACATATTATCATATAAGATTTTATTCCTATCTTAGATAATTATCTTACCTGTAAGTAAGGTGCTTAATCAAGAAAGGAATTGGAGCTCTGAAAAAACAAATTTTGTCTCTAAACCTGTAGCAAGCACCTCTGTTGTTAATCGCTAGCAAGCAGTTCCACCCTTAACCAACAACAAACATTTTTTCCATTCTTAAAAGAGTTCATACAGATGTGATGCTTCATTGAATATATTCAAAGACAATCGTTTTACTCAAGGTATTTGGAGAAACAAAACAACGTGCATTAATGTTCAATCCAGTTCAAAGATCAAGTTGCTTAGCATGAGTTAAGAATTGTGATTCTTAATCTACGTGGTGGTTGCGACCGAGTAAAATAGTGAAGTGGCGATAAAGTCAAGACCGGGGATTTGATTTCACTTCTAAAACAAGTCAAAAGAAGAGAAAATGATAGAGTTGTTCTTAGATTTCTTTTGATTGTTATTTGTTAATTTGTAAAATTATAAAACTGAAACTGTTGTATTTTTTGTCATTTGATTTAGTGGATTGTCTTACCTGTGGCATGGGGCCGTTGATGTTCCCTTTCGGGGTTTACAATGTTATATTTGGTGTTCTTTTAGTTTACTATTTAAATTCCGCATATAGGTAAAACTCACGAACACAACACATCCTACACGTACTAGTCAGAGCTCTGTTTAGATTTGAGTATAGGAAGTTCAATGTGTGCCTTCCGTCCCGAAACACATGAATAGTGAAATTAAAATTTGTTTTTCAAATTTATCTAGGTTTTAGAATTTACAAAATGTTACTTTGAGAAATTTTTTAGCTGACTATGAAATAAGAATTACGAAAACGAAATGAAAGTACAATATACAAGGCTTTCGAGAGGCCTTTCTACTTTATTTTATTCACCTCTCAATCATTGGATGTTGAAGTCACAATGATGTTACAAAATTGGATGACGAGTGTGATTTAATTCATCATGACTGTTAAAGACTTTTTACAACTTTATAAATGTCTATAATGAATACTCCAATATTTTTATAACGTATTAAATTATCAATATTGAATATACCTAAGTTTTCTAACTTATAAAAGTCCAAATTAAATAAACCCTTAGAAATGAAACTTTCACAAGATAGATATGAATCTATCTTTTCATAACCAAGGGTAAGGCTAGCAGGGTTAATCTTGATCTCTTTATCTATGTTAATATTAAAATATGGTCTATATGAGGACAGTCTACTTGAGGAGTCCAAAAGTACTAATCAATTCATTCACTTTTCCTATTATATTCCTTGTAATAACTACAGTGTATAAGACGAGTAAAAATAGTCTTGAGCACCGCGATGGCTCGACTAATAGATTTCAAAGAATCTTGATATCTGTATATAAACTAACATTGTTAAATTTAAGATGATATGTTCTAACAACTTAAATCGACTTTTGGTTACTTTCCCTCGTCTACAAAAGATGTTATTGACTACAATTTTTTTGTCCGTAGCAAATAATATCATTATAAATAACTATTTTTCTTGTAATATATCTTAAATCAATACTTTTGAGACTTGTTAAGAGTATTTTCAAGAGATTATCAACATACAAAATTATTCTTATTTAAACAATCGATGCTTAAAAGTAAGTTTCACGAAACTATTTTAACTTTTTAAAAACAGAGAGTAGGTTGAAGAACTAAAACAACTCTTTACTTTTATTTCATAATGATTGCATTTAATAAGTTATTAATATAATTAATAGTTCTTGAAAAAATTAAAATAAAGAGCTAAAATAGGAAGCATTGTTCGATTGTCAAAAGAATTTTATTCTCTAAATTTAAAGATATTCTCTATTATAAATAAAATGCTTTCTATAGATTCTCTATCTATATTTTGTTTTTATCTTTTGTTATTTCTATTAAAATTGCGAACCGTATGGTAAGACAATCACTTTAGCCGCCATCAGGCATGAACATTATGCCATCAACGGGCACAATGATTTAGATGAATATTGTTACTTTTTGCCTATTTAAAATATAATCATAAGCTTCAACACTTTTTGCATAAGAAAAAAAGAGAAAACAAATTACTCCTTGTCGCCTTTTCACCCTGTGAATGATACAAGGAATCATTATTATTCTCCTAATCTAAAGAACACCATTGTATCAAGAGAACACTAATGCCCATTTAGAATTTTTTTTTTCCTTAAAAAAAACCACCCTTTTATCGATCTTTAAAGAATCGAAGTGCGAAAATCACTCTTCTACTGAAATTTGCCATGAAAGAGTTAGTTCATAAGTCCGGTTCTAGCAAGTCAGCTTCCTTTGTTTAAAAAGCAACCATGAAATACCTGGCCAATTGAATACAATCACGAGAATTGATCCGTAGAAATATTTTGTATGGAGTTAGAAAATTGTACAGTTAACAAAAAGGATTTCCGTTCAGAAGGAAATGATTCAGTTGGGAGCCTAATCGAGATTTACATGGAGTATATGTGATTAACAGTATGTGCTAAAAATCAAGAAGCAACACTTTCTTCCACTTCAAATAGACCAAGCACTAAGACTTTGCCTCCGAAGTTCCGAGTTATGAGTTCACGGTAGAGACCTCCAAATAAGATTATGATGAGATGCTTTTGGATATATCAATGTGGAAATAGATGATATAATTGATTACCACAATCTAAAATATGGTCGGACAATTGGATCATCATAGCTAGTTTAGAAAATAACCAATAGCCTGTCACTGGCAAGTTTCGGACACGATGACACGAAGTTATACTCGAGCAATTGATATATATTTTTCGTTCTTGATTATGTGGTTTTTTGTAAGCTTATTATTCTAGAGCTCTGCCCAACCCCTTTTAAGCCCTTGTTTGATTGTAATTATTTTTAGAAAATGAAGTTTTGAATGGTGAATTTTTTTTTTAGAATGTGTTGTTAAAAATTAGGAAAAAATTGTGGGTTTACGTGCAAAATATTTTATTATGTATATGTACAGTTGAAAATAAGTATGAAAAGTAAATGGTTTTGAAATAATGATTGTCAAACAAAGTTAAATTGTAATTTGTTTATTTTTTTTGATTAATAGAAAACATCAGCACCAGTGATTTTAAGTGAAAAACAAAGTCACTTCGATACATGAAAACATCTTCGAAACTTTATTTTGTGACAAAATAATGGCATCTATTATCTTATAATAATTCTATTTGTAAGTAGTACATACTGACGAGCAGGGACGGATCTAGGATCGGACTAAAGAGGGGGCTAATACGTTAAAAAAAAAAAAAATTACACATGAATTTTTTTTTTACATAAATTTTTTTTTTACTCCCTAAAAAATTCAGTGGTTGGGGACCGGCCGGGCCAAGAAGAGCTACCAAATCATTCTTTCATAGTAGTTTCGTAGACAATGATGAAATTAATATGTAGAGTTTCAGAAGAGAAGCTTACCACCCAAGGTGTCCTCCGATGACCACTCAACACCTTTAAGCATTTCCCAGTTTGGCAGTCAATTACTTTTATAGTATGGTCTCCACTGCAAAAATAAGTATGGTAATAAGTGTTTGAAATGGTGCCAAGTGGATCAACTTTGACCACAAATTTTGGTGGGGCCTAATGTTCGAATTGTCGAAATAAATGTTCAATTAAATTCTACGTTCCGAGTAGATGAGTGTAGAATAACCCCCCCCCCCCCCCCCCAATCCGTCCCTGCTCACGAGTGGGTTTCGTGGCACTAAGGAGCAGGTTATGTTGCTCTAAGCCAACTGCCACATTCTCATATAGAGTTGGGATGCAATTTAATTCGGTGGGGAATCTGCTAATGGGCTAAAATAATTATTAAGGATTAACCACAGTCTATATTTAAAGATAAATTAACTTATTCATAATTTGAAAGTTCTAATGTATGATTCAAATAGAATTGAAAATTTTTTGTCCTGGTGACAATATCATTCTTGGATCAAACTGTGCTTTCCATCTTTGGAAAGTGTTCCATTTTGAACCAAAATGCTTTATCCAATCTTCCTCGGATTTGTAGTGTGGGAGATACTGCTTCAACTTTATTCCAGCTCTATCACAGAATTCCAGTACTTCATTGTTTTGATTGTCCAAATCTTGCCAGTTACTGAATCTGCCTAAATGCAACAGTCCCACAATGTAGAAGATATCCTCATCTGGTGTTACTGCGGACATCCTATCATCCCATCTGCACAATTTATTAAGTACGTTACGATTAGGTCATGTGAACTAGAAATTCTTTTTCTTGGATATAGAAACATTATAGTTCTGTATCCGTTGTCAAAACATGTATGCAGTCTTGAGTGTATGTCATCAGTTCAAGATAAGTACTTTGTTTTAGTCGTTGGGTAGACAAATAGAGGCCCTTTGGTCTTCTTTTCTCTGTGAAGAATTTCTACAAAAACACCAGCATTGAAATCCATGGTACGAGACTTCGGTACAAAAAGATTCAGCCATGGATGAGGAATATCCCATAATCCTTTTGATCTTAGGGTTAATTCGCCTTCCTGAACTCTATTGAGGAAATCAACATAGGTTTCATCTCTTGTGAAAGAGAAACCAGGAATGTAGTTCAATCCGTCTTGCAGCCTTTGAACTTCCTGAAATAACAAGAAAAAAAGAACTAATTTAGTAATGTCCCATATAATACTGTATGCAGTATTATATAATGAGCATGCAAGTATATTTATTGCAGTGAATCTATGAATAAAATATTGAGTTAAAAAAAAATAAAAATGTAAGAGTACACTATGTAAACAATTACTTTATCCACTGAATTGGCGGTCTCATCATCATAATACTTGACCATCTCTAAGGAATAGAGGATGCCGTGTTTCTTCAATAGAGAAGAAATTTGGGATTCGTTATAAGGTGTGAAAAAGGGAGATCTCCAGTCATCTACAGGAGTGTAGTCCATCATGAGAAAGCCTTTCAAATAATCTAGACCCTTGGTCGAGAATAAGATGTTCTTGATCTCTCGTAAAGATTGAGAAATCATAGTATAGCATTTTCACCCATTTCACCTGAAGAAAGAAACAAATTAGCTATACAACAAACATAAATTCTTTATGTAAATTCTTTGCCCCATATGAGATATGAAAAAATTAGCATGTGCAAGTCACATTAACAATGAACATTTTTTTATGGAGGTGTTATTGTTAAACCATCTCATCTTAAAATCTGAATACGCATATCGAATTCATTTTTGTGCATTTCATGTTTATAACTTCAACACACTCTTCATGTACAAGTGTCATGTGATGCCTCTTAATTCATGTACAAATATTATACAATCATGCTTGGTGTACATCATTATCTACACCTTTGTTTACATAATTCCACGTATCATTATTTCATTTGCCAGTTAAAAAAAAACTATTTTTTTATCCACTTATTTCTTGACAACATATCAAGTGTCAACATGAGTGTACACAATTGATGTACAAGTAGCAAAATCCATTATTATAAGATTTGAGCTAGGAACATTTTATGCTTGACACCATATTAATTTAGTGGAACTGCAAATGATATAAACTGACAAATTAAGCTGGTTGGCACACCCATTCCTAGGATTCAAAATTTTAAAAAAACAAATATATCTTCTCATACACTACTATATGTGAACTAATAGTATATACTTTTTTTTCGATTATGACAAAGGCCCAGTTTGTTTCGTAAGTCAAAGTCAAACAATCAATATTAACCACATTTTTCATGAGTCCCACAACTTTTCAACCATATATTTCAAAAACTTCTATCACAATCTACTAAAAATCTAATTTTAATCTCCACCAAACACCCACAAAATATTAACCTTATTGCACTCACTCTTTTTGGTGCTTTTGCTAGGACAATTCTTGCCCTATTTATGATGCCAAACTGCCCTAGACCTCCTAAAACTGCAAAAAATAATTCTGAATTCTTGTCTTTGGAGCAAGTCATGAAGTCCCCTTTACCTAAATAAGACAAATGGAAAAAATCATCTGTTAGTAAAGTGACTATATCCATGCAAAAATTACATGTACCTGATAGAGCTGCCGTTTTAAGATTTTTTCGTTCACACATAATATAGTTATGAATGTCATGAGCTGTGGATACTATGTAACACATGCGGTATGTATTCCTTTGACAAAATTTTGATCAAGTGAATCCTGAAGATCTTCTAAGTTCCCAGAAAAAATCACAATCGAAATATGATTTTTTTTTTTATATTTATTATTTTTCTGTGTCTGTTTTATCACATTTTGAATTAAATTCTAACATAAAAACTCATAAGCTACTGATGTCGGGAGATCTAACCACTTCATTGTCAAAAGGTATAGCTCATTTGAGAAGAGCAATCGACCTTATATTATTCAAGATGAAGCTCAAGAATCCAGCCCAACACTATTCGTTGGGGTCTTACATCGAAAATTCCTTTACGAAACAGGCCCATGCTTATTTTCAAGTGACGCTCCTCATGAAATGGCCCCAAGAACTTGCTTCCAGCTTGTACTAAATAAATTGTTTTGCTAGCTATATAAACATTATAAAAGAATTGAAAAATGCACCTGTAATAACATCCATTTCAAGAACATTGCTAATCTGTGGACCGTGTAGGAAGGTCTGTCCACTGACTCCAGCATTAGAAAGTGTACCCCCAACAGTTAGGTACAAATAGTCAGTCCATGAAACAGGTGCAAGGCCATGTTGTAGGGTGGCATTCAATACATCAATCCACAGCTGTTCACCCCCAACATCTGCATAATGTTCTGCTGTTGAAACCCTAATTCCAGTCCCATTTTTATATTGTTCATTTAAAGAAAGCATATTCACTACTACCCCATTATGTGCCATGTCCTGTCCTCTAACAGAATGTCCATAGCCTCGTGCCGACACATTAAATGGGAGGGGACATTCGTTAGAAAATTTGATAAGCTCGATAATATCGTCACTGGATGTAGGATAAAGCACCGCAAAAGGAATATCTCGAACAATATGACCATAGTCGGTTGAGGCAAGTCCAATGGCTTCAGGATCATAGCGAAGCTTATCATGTACTCTAAGGGAATCAATTTTACAAGGAACTGCATTCTTTGATTGCCTCAACTTCCCTATAATGGACATGAAACGACTTAGATACAGAAGACAATAAAATGTGCAGGAATTAGACAAGGGCTTGACATTTTTAGAGAGGAAAAATGGAGATTGAGATTCAAGAAATTGTTAATATTGATGGGAGAAAGAAGCTAGCTATATATAAAGAAATAAATTTTCATGGAAATGTAGATTTGTGAATCTTGGAAATGTACTAGCACACAAGAAATCATGACTTGTTGCACAACAATTAATTATCAAATATACGAATTAAAGGAAGGATTTCTTATACTTTGCTTTTTGTCTAAAACATCACGACATCCTCGTGCGTGTAATAAAATCTCTCTCTCTCATATTTTTAAAATATCATTCTAGTTATATAATGAAGTGTATAAAAAAAAAATAGCTGCATGTTTGGCATCAAACAAACTTTACATATTCGATAGGATCGACAATTACCACTCACTTATATCCATACATTCTATATGGTCCAAAACTTATAATCACTTACAAGAACTTTCAAGCATGCCCTAAGAAAACTTAATTACACAATAATAGCCACTTCACTCTCTTAATGGTTTTTTTTTTTAAATGACTTCAACCCCGAGTTTGTGGCATATCTGCATCAATGTTAACTCCATGTTGTGATTTATATGATTTGTTTATTTATTTGTGTAGCTTTTATGTTTCCTATGTTTATATGTACAATAGTATGCTGATAAGTGTATTTCCTACACTTATTTGTGGTCTAAAATAGCGATATTAGATAGTTCTTTTGAAAAAATATATCCTAAATTGTTGTATTTTATATTGTATAGGTAAAACTCAATGGTTGAACAAGGAATTGAAAGAAAGAAGTGAAAATTCGAAAAAAATTACAAAATTCAAAGTTTGATGACCAAATTGCAAATTCAATAGTTGATTCGGATCACAAGATGATATTTTGAAGATTTCTAGGAGACAATTGGATGGAATTAAAATTCTAAACGGAATGGAATATGATTAAAATCAATTTCTAATAACACAAGTTATATTCCAGATTTTTAGTCGAAAATTGAGACCCATTTTTGGCATGGTAAATGTTCGAATTGAAAAATATCTATTTCTGCAAAACTCGTAGCGCTTTGAGTTAACTTTTCAACACACTTTGAATTGTATCAATTGGATATCTGGAGAAAAAGTTACGGTTAAAATACTAAATAATGTGCAAAGATAAAAAAAATCTGCGCACAAAGATGACTTTCCTTATTCGATTAGAACTCTTTTGAAAATCAATTTGAAAGTGATTTTCAATCAATTTTCGACTCCTACAAATACATAATAGCATAATACATATTGAGAACACTTACATGTACATATTATACTCAATTATTCATCAATTATTATCATCAAAGGAGGAGAATTCATAGTTTTTGTGAGAGAATTGAAGCGAATTTGCAAAAATTCAATCAAGTGAAGATTCATATCTTCTCAATTTATCAAAAAATCGGTTATGTCTTTTCATTTAAATATGATTTCTTGTAATTTCAATATGTTAGGCTAATTTTATATATTACTAGGATGAAATGAACCCTTGTTATGATATTTTTAGTTTTTAATTAATTGTTTTGACTTTAATTTTATTTGATTTGTGATGTTTATTATCATTTTTATCGTTCTTTTCAATTACTTGATCACCAATTGAATTGTTAGTGGATTTTATTGTTATCGAGATAGATAATAGGGTTTAAGCACATTATAATAAATATTGTAAGGTTCGATAGAGGATAGAGATATAACTTTATGCTTTATATGGTTTCAATATGTGTTCTAGTGTTTGTTAATACATTTATCATGTTTGTATCTTTCATCGAGAGATAGAAATGTCACATGAGGGGAATAAATTTGATCACTATCGAGATATGCTTTTAATTAAATTAAGAGTATTGACCAACATAAATGATTTCAAATTATCACTTTAATTGTTACACTAAAAATAGAATAACAAGGGGATTCGACATCTTAGCAATGCATCTCACATGTTTGAATTCAAACCAATTAAATTGCTTTCTAATT